GGGGGGGGGGGGGGGGGGAGATATGACTGTCCATTATTGGATCAGTAGGGGAAAATTTTGATAGTAATTGAAGAGAGGGGAGATGGGGGAAAGGTGCGGGATTTGTGTAGAAGGATAGGGGGGATTTGGTCAGGGTAATTTTTCACACACACATTATCTGTAGGAAGTAATTATCTTGCAATAAATATATTTAGATAATTAGATTAAATATACAATATCATGCACAGGATAATTAAAAATAATCATAATTATTGTAATTAAAAACCAGTCTTAATAATTTCTATTCAAGTAACAAAGGTAAATGCAGAAAACATGGATAGAATGATACAAAGATACATGGATACAAGAAAACAAGGATACAAGGATATAAGGATACAAGGATACAAGGATACAAAGATACAATGATACAAGGATACAAGGATACAAGGATACACGGATACAAGGATACAAGGATACAAGGATACAAGGATACAGAAAATGAACTAATTGAAAGATTGAAAGAATGAAAGAAAAAATAAAGCTGACTCTGCAAACGGTTAGAATTGGCGAGGATTGGGTTTCAACTTCATTGAAATAATAAAAAAAAACATTCCGATAAAATCTAATAAATTATTTAATTTGATTTCCCTGGATGCAATTTACAACCTAAGATACAAAATATAACCTTGTAATCAAACGATTATCAAGAATTGAATTGAATTGAATTTAAATTTTCCAAATAGGATCTTAGCTCTTATCAAGATTTTAGAAATTAATTCAGAGTCATTTAATTTGATAGATAGATAGATAGATAGATAGATAGATAGATAGATAGATAGATAGATAGATATGCAGATAGATAGATGGGTTTTGGTTCAGATTTGGTTTGGGATCTAAGAATGATAAGAATAAACATTGATAGTAGCAAGCATATAGTTGTCTTTCAGTAGAATACTATCTGTATAAGCAGCAAGCATTTAGTTGTCTTTCAGTAGAATACTATCAGATAAGTAGCAAGCATATAGTTGTCATTCTGTAGCATATTATCAGATAAGTAGCAAGCATATAGTTGTAATTCTGTAGCATACTATCAGATAAGTAGCAAGCATATAGTTGTCATTCTGTAGCATATTATCAGATAAGTAGCAAGCATATAGTTGTAATTCTGTAGCATACTATCAGATAAGTAGCAAGCATATAGTTGTCATTCTGTAGCATACTATCAGATAAGTAGCAAGCATATAGTTGTTATTCTGTAGCATACTATCAGATAAGTAGCAAGTATATTGATTAGTAGTTGTCTTCTTTCAGTAGCATATTGCTCAGTGCAGTGTCCTTCTTTTAGTAGCATACAACCAGTAAAAGTAACATTCGTATTGCTAAGAAGTCCCTTTGCTATAGTAGCATAATCTGTATAAGTGGCAATTGCATATGCATTGCATCCATTCTGAGTAGGGTTTGTAGCCGATATTTTGTTGTGCATGAAAAACTTTTTTCATAGAAATCTTTAATTTATTTTTTCGTTAAGCTTATTGACTACTATACTTTTATAATTTGAAAAGTTAAAAAGTNGGAAGAGGTAGGGGTAGGGGAAATCATACCTGAAGAGTATTTTCTAAAGACAAATTATGATTGATTAGTTTACTACATTGTGATAATAAATAATATTTTCACAAGACAAATAATACCTTAGACTTCGAAATATAGAACAAAAATAGTTTATTAGTTCGAAATATAGAACACAAATAGTTTATTAGTTCGAAATATAGAACACAAATAGTTTATTAGTTCGAAATATAGAACACAAATAGTTTATTAATTCGAATTAAAGAACACAAATAGTTTATTAGTTCGAAATATGGAACACAAATAGTTTATTAGTTCGAAATATGAAACTCAAATAGTTTATGAGTTCGAAATATAGAACACAAATAGTTTATTAATTCGAAATATAGCACACAAACAGTTTATTAGTTCGAAATATAGAACAAAAATAGTTTATTAGTTCGAAATATAGAACACAAATAGTTTATTAGTTCGAAATAAAGAACACACATAGTTTATTAGTTCGAAATATAGAACACAAACAGTTTACTAGTTCGAAATATAGAACTAGATTAGTTTCTTTAAATTCAAATTTACTTTTTTCACAATTTAAACCATTTTATTTTCACGTCCGTTTCTGCTTTTTTATTACTCTTTCTTCTTTTTGCTATTATTGCTGCTTTCTCATTTCATCTACTAAACTTTTCTTCTCTTTTGTTTCTTATTCTTTATCTATATCTATACTCTAGCTCTTAAATCTCGAACAATAGTTTTTTCATCTTTTTTGTCATCTTTCCCCTTACAGCTTCCTTACTTTATCTTCCTTTCCCCTTACATCTTCCTTACTTTATCTTCCTTTCCCCTTACATCTTCCTTCCTTTATCTTCCTTTCCCCTTACATCTTCCTTACTTTATCTTCCTTTCCCATGTTTCTATTTTGCTTGTATATCTGGTATAACTCCTATACCGCAAACAGAGCAGTTGTTATCTCTAGGCATAAGAGGAATCTATGGTGGGAGTTAAGCAGTATATACGGAGATACAACTCAGTCAGAGAGCTGGCACACTTCAGTTCTGTACTCAGAAATTTGACATATCTTAATTTTTCCGTATTTTTATTTTCTATGTTTTTCCATCATTATCTATCTCTTCTTTCCCTTCATTTTTTCATTTTTTCTCTTTCTCTAAGTCATCTCTGTTTCCACTTTTTTACAAACATTTTTTCTTCATTTTATCAACTTTTTCCTTTTCTATTGGTTATGCTATGAACATTGTTTGGTTCTTTCTTTTTTCATATTTTCTTTTTCATACACTCTTTTGAACATGATTTCTCTTTCATACATTATTTTGCTGTATTCATCCATTATCATTTGAAGTTTTCTATCCTCATTTTTACTTCTTTTCTCCTTTGGTCTTAATTTCTCCATCTTTTCTTTCTCTATCTTATCCATCTGCAATCTGCAATCTGCAATCTGCAATCTGCAATCTGCAATCTGCAATCTGCAATCTGCAATCTGCAATCTGCAATCTGCAATCTGCAATCTCCAATCTCCAATCTGCAATCTCCAATCTCCGATTTAAAATCTCCAATCTCCAAGTTCCAATCTCCAACCTCCAATCTCCAATCTAATTTCCAATCTCCAATCTCAAATCTCCATGTCTTTTTAATTTGTTTCATCTCTGTTTAACAATGTTGTTTTAATTCTTATTTTATCCACTTTCGCTTATTTTATTTTCTAAAATAAAAGTTCGTGTTAAAATAAGTAATTATTCCATGGTATTACTGCATACAAATACAGTACAATAACAATGCATTGCAGTTTCTTTTCTAGTTTTAAGTTTAAACTAATTTTACGCAATTATTGACATAATTACCGGGGTCTCCAGATTAACTATGTAAAAAGGTACTTTTATAGAAAATTATACAGTCAGGCGTGCTTTATCGAAATAAGAATATAAATTAGTCTTTATCTATATCTACTTTAAAAAAGCAAAAAAAATTATTTCAGCAGTAATAAAGGGGTTTACTTATTCCCTTATTTATTTATTATAATCTCATATACGTAATAACTCTACATCTTGAGATTGGAGTTAACTATAATATATAGAAGTGGTTAAAAAAAGAACAACATAGTTTTCCACAGTAGATACTACGAAAGAAGGCAATAATATATATATATGTATATATATATATATTTATATATATATNCCAGAGTAAATGTACTCTCTTTGTACCAGAGTAAATGTATTATCTTTGTACCAGAGTAAATGTATTATCTGTGTACCAGAGTAAATGTATTATCTGTGTACCAGAGTGAAAACTTGTATTTATATGAAAATTTCGCTATATAAACTTTGAAAGATTTGCCAAGTTATCTATTGTGAAATATTTTATGCACGACAACATGAGTTTTAAAATGGCCTATATCACAAAATAAAATTTATAGAAATATGAATAAATGGTAGATATTTGTAAACATGTTGTAATTATCTAGCAGTAAACCTTATTCATCAGATTTAGTTGCCTAGTTCGTGTATACAATCTCAACTATACAAATCTAGTTTTTTATTCATTTTTAAATTCATTATCAATAAAATAGGATTTAGATTTTTTGGAAATAGATATTTTTATAATTTTCCTGGTAAATTAATTCACCCTTTCTTCTCATTTTCTCTTAATTTTCTTTTTATTTTTGCCAGTTGTGTCTTTTTTCATCTATTTTTTTTAATGTCATGCACATCATTCTATCTTTTTTAATGTCATGCACATCATTCTATCTTATTTAATGTCATGCACATCATTCTATCCTTTTTAATAATTCTATTACATTGACGTTAAAGTCGTGTCAGATAAAAGTTAGCTTTGGTAAAAAAAGGCAATTTTATTCCAAATAATGAAATGAATGTACTGTTTAACCCCTGAACTAACGATTAATATTTGGGCAAAGGTATATAACTGTGAAGTAGCTCCAATAAAATGCGTATAAAGATTGTAAGGAGCTTATTAGTAAGTTAATCTGGCGAACTTTATTCAAAACTTCTCTGATTTCAGATTTGGAACCTTGAACACACAAACACACATTCTAAACCCAGCATTTGACAACTGAGGTAAATTTTTTTGTTGATGTAAAGTGGGAATAATAATGCTGTGAAATAAGAAGATGACTTTTAAGTTATACTATGTGCATTTCATGTTGTTAGCTTGAAAATCCACTGATTAAGTGAAATAGGTCCGGTTGCACTGCACACGTGCTGTGCTTCATGTTTATCGGATTATTTAAAGCATTAACTTGAGTCTAACAGTCGTCTTCCTATTTCACAGTTTAGTGAGCCCCACTGTATAATGTCAGAATGGTATTGAAACTTAGAAGGAGAGGATTATGCCGGGAAAATGAGGAGGGAAGGTGGAGCTGGGTTTAGATTGAAGTAAAGCGCTATGAGAAAGGAGGGGAAGGTTCTCTGCTCTGTAAATCTGAGATGTTTAGCATTTAATGTTTTATACAGTTTAAATTATTAATCTTTTTATTTCTTCATTATTCTCTCATCTTAGGCACCGTCCATTTGATCTCAGGATCCAAATATTAATAAAATAGTTGAGATTAGTTTAATTAAAGGTTTAATAAACTTGTTGTTTCTCCAGGATGCCAGAGGAGCACATAGATGCGGAGCAGGGTTCGTCCGAACCTTCTAAACAAGAGGATTGTGAGAAAGAGGTTTTAGAAATACCTACTCTGTCCCTTCCGTCCCCTGTTCCTTCTCCTCCCTCCTCCCCTGCCCCCATCCGTACTCACTCCCTACCCTCATCCCCATACTCGGAGAATGAGGGCAGGATGAGGGATGATGAGGAAGGAATGAGGGAGTATGATGAGGAGGATGAGGATGAGGAGAGAAGAGATTCAGATTCTGAAAATCCTGGCAGACGGAGGAAATCAACCAAACCAAATCAGATTCAGGTAAATTCATTCATTTTATCAAGATCAATACTATTTTTTTAAACTGAAAATAGAAAAAATGCTAAATTTGTTTTATTTCAGGGATATAGTGATGATTCCGAGCCTTGCATCCCGGATTTCAAGTGTCCACTCTGCAGTCAGGTCTTATCCTGTCAGAGAGATTTTACGTCCCATCTCCGGGGACATAACGAGGTTAAACCTTCTCCAGACCCTAGTGATCCTACAGGTAACAATTTGAACCTTCTCCAGACACTAGGTATCCCAAAAGTAATAATTTAAACCTTCTCCAGACACTAGTGATTCTAGAGGTAAATATTTAAACCTTCTCCAGATCCTAGTGATCCTACAATTAAATATTCAAACCTTCTCCAAACCCTAGTAATCCTACAGATAAATATTTAGACCTTCTCCAGATCCTAGTGATCCTGTAGGTAAATATTTAAACCCTCTCCAAGTCCTAGTGATTCTACAGGTAAATATTTAAACCTTCTCCAGACCCTAGTGATTCTAAGGGTAAATATTTAAACCTTCTCCAAGTCCTAGTGATTCTACAGGTAAATATTCGAACCTTCTCCAGACCCTGGTGATCCTACACAGGTACCTATTTAAACCTTCTCCAGACCCTAGTTATCCTACAAATACATATTCAAACCATCTTCATATTCAAGTGATCCTACAGGTTCAGATTTATATCAGCTCTGGCTCTAGGTCCTAGTAATCCTATAGGTACAGGTTTAAACTAACTCCAGGTCCTAGTGATCCTATATGTTCAGGTTTATACCAGCTCCAGGTCCTAGTGATCCAATAGGTTCAGGTTTATACCAGCTCCAGGTCCTAGTGATCCTACTGGTACAGGTTCAAACTAGCTCAGAGAGCACTGTAGAATAATTCTGATTACTCTTTTTTGTTTTACTGTCGCATTAAAGTTGTAATCAATTCACTATATTAGTGGGTATAATGGGTATTATCTATCTTTATGATGTATACTTAAAATATGTTTATTTATCTATCTATCTATCTATTTATCTATCCATCTATCTATCTATCTATTTATCTGTCTGTCTATCTATCTATCTATCTATCTATCTATCTATCTATCTGTCTGTCTGTCTGTCTGTCTGTCTATCTGTCTATGTATCTATCTCTTTATTTATCATTCTATCTATCTATCTATCTATCTATCTAGATATATCCAATATGTATGTCTATATATATATCTATGTTTAGGTCAGACCAAGGTGTACAACTGCTGTCTATGTGGGAAGATGTTGTCCTCCTTCAGCTCCTTGGACAGGCACATGTTGGTCCACTCAGGGGAGAGACCATTCTCATGTATCTTCTGCGGACAAACCTTTACAACGAATGGAAACATGCACAGACACCAGAGAACCCACGGGGTGAAAGGAGCAGAGGGAGAGGATGGGAAGGTTCTTGTTCTTCCTAAGAAAGCAAAGAAGAGAGAGGCAAGTTTCAGTTTAATGGATCGGGAGGAGACCAGTAATAACAACTACCCGGAGAAGACGGAGCAGATGTGTCCTGTGTGTGAGAAGACATACAGCTCTGATCTGCTCCTGGAAGCACACATTCTCTCAACCCATCCTGGACAACAGCTCCGCTGTGACTCCTGCACCGCTATTTATTCTACTTTCCAGAGTTTAAACATACACAAGTATCTTCACCATTTTCAGCCAATATCAAACTTTTCTGAAATCAAATATCCGAACCTATCAGCTTCATTATCCGGGGTTCAGGTTCCAATATCTCTCCCTGTATCCCTCTCACCTATAACCAAACATCTAGAGGGAGCCCTCACCCGTCCTGTTCTGAAAGAGAAAGATCTGGCAGATGTTCAGAGTATCCTATCCATCACTCAAAACTTTTCCGCTATGGCCGGAGAAAATAAAAACTCTCAACCCAGTATTGCAGAGTCTATCACCTCTGAACACAGCGTGAACTCAACCCTCTCCGAGCCCGAGAGTCCTGGAGGGAAAAGGATGAGGTTGGACGAGGGAGAGAGTTTTCTTGACGATGATCCTGTAATTAAAGAAATGAAAATGAAGGGAGAGTTTCCTTGCAGCCAGTGCCCTAGTGTATTCCCTAACCTGAGAGCCCTGAAGGGGCACAACAAGGAGCATTTGGACAAGGCCCCTTATAGGTGCAACGTTGGGACCTGTACCTACACCAGTAACGACAAGAGCACCCTCACCCGCCATATGAGACGACACACCGGAGAAAAACCGTTCGAATGCAAGGTTTGCAACTTTGGATTTACAACAAAGGCAAACTGTGAGAGACATCTGAAGAATAAGCACAGGAAAACCTCAAGGGAGCAGATTAGGGATTGTTTGATCATCCATGAGACAGAGGATACAGAGACATTGATCACAAGGATGCAGATGTCCGGAGAGGGTTCCAGGAACGGTATAGAGGAGAATGGTTCTGAACCTATGGATATGGAGTCAGATTTTGCATTTCGTTGCAAAGTTTGCAAGCTTACTTTTATGTCAAAGTTTGCCGTTATTCAACACGGGATCCATACACACCCAGAGTATGCCAAGGACGTGGATCATATTGCAGAGGCTATTGGAGAACATAAACCTCCTGGTTTCTCGCCAAGGAGAAGAAGCAATAGTTTGGGTTCAGATGATGAAGCACCTTTAGACCTGAGCAAGGTTAAGGATGAAAAGAGAAGAGAGCCAGTTGATCACCAAGAGGATGAAAGTACAAACCATCAAGAGCCAAAGTTCAGAGTAGGACCCAAACTCCCGGGGGGATTCCCTCCTGGGTTCCCAATGCTTCTCCCTGGTCTTCAGAACCAACAACAACCTAGCATTTTCTATCCCTACCTTGCAGCCATGCCATATTTACTCAGTCAACAAAGCTTAATCTCAGGACTGCATAATAAGAACAGTTACTATGGAGGAAACCTGCCAGTTCCTCCAGTTGATCTGTCTCCGTTCCTGGCAGCTCAAGAGTTTGCTAAAAAACAAGCAGAGTTTCTCCAGCAGCGAGAGGCAGCAGAGGCTCTGCAGAATCTTAGTCAAGCTCAGGTTCCCCCTAAACCTGAAGAACATATTGAAGAACCTTCTCCAGTAGTTAAGGTTTCTGAGATATCTGATACTGAAGAAAAGCTGGATGAATCAATGTACAAGATGGTGATCAAGAACGGAGTTCTAATGAAGAAACCAAAGCAGAAAAGATACAGGACGGAAAGACCCTATTCTTGCCAAAGTTGCAATGCCAAGTTTACTCTGAGATCTAATATGGAGCGTCACATAAAGCAACAACATCCAGAGTGCTGGAGCGGGAAGGGAAGAGGATCAAGAAAACATTTATTCCCACTCTCTCTTCAAATCCAAGACGATGAAGCTGGCCATAAACCTGATGAAGATACAGATACAGAGAAGGAAGAGGATGGTCTGCTCGTGATCGATGATAAACCTGACAAGAAGAAGGAAGAAGATTCTGTAGATCTAGCGAGTGTAACCAAACTGCTGTCCTCCGCCACCAACCAATCCTTCCCCCAGTTCTTCTCTGACTCCAACGCTGAGGAAATACGGGAGGATGATGAAGAATGCAAGGAGAACGGAGATGAGAGGAAGAGTGCATACTCTGCTGCTCCCCACAAAATTGATTGCCCTTTCTGCTACAGGAAATTTCCCTGGACTTCATCCCTAAACCGTCATATCCTGACTCACACTGGACAGAAACCGTACAAGTGTCAGGATTGCAAACTCTGGTTCACCACAAAGTCAAACCGGGATCGGCACCAGGTTCGGAAACATGGAGGAGTACTTGACTCCGGACACAACTCGAGAAATGTCTCTGATCGTCCGTTTAAATGCAGTAAGTGTCCCAGTTCAACCTTCTCTTCAGAAGAAAATCTGATGAAACACCACTATGAGAAGCATCTAAACCAGGAGTACCCTGGGGATCTGGATGGGGACGACGACGAGACCTCTGGCGTGGTGGATGTCAAGAGCTACTTCAAGTGCCATATCTGCAACGAGGAGTACCTCCATCGCGCTGAGACCATTGCACATATTGAGGATGAGCACCCTGACGTGTATAGAGAGAACATTGAGGTTTACGAGGCTGCCTCCCATATACCTATAGATGCTAACTTCAGACGTGAACCTAATGATGAAGGATTGACAAGGGTCAACTGTATCTTCTGTCCTTGTCAATTTAAATCTACAGTTGAGCTTGGAAAACATGTTTTATCTCACACCAGAACCAAACAATATCTCTGCGATGTCTGCAGCAAGGATTTCACCAGTAGGATGGATTTTATAAAGCACAAGAAGAGTCATGATCAAATCAACCAGAATGATCAACTCTCTAATGATCACAACCAGAACCTGAACCTAGAGGTGGAGAGACCTGCTCCGGCTAGTCCGGAGATACCGAAACCTCTCCTGGAGAATATTGTAACTAAGAGAGCAAACCTAATGGATAAAATCAACAAGTTGAGTCTTCTCAGTGCAGCCAAAGCTGAGAAATCAACTGATCCGTTCCGGTGTATTCTACCCCAAACCCAGATATCTACACAACGTCTGGTATAGTTTAAAAAAAGTAAAATTGCTCACTTACCTACTTAACCAAGAATTTAGATACTTATCAAATGTTGTTTGATCGTATGTTCAAAACTCGACTACTTATTTTTGTTAATTTCTAGTCTGTACAGGATTACTCCTAACAGAGTATTTTTTAAAAACCATGGTATTCACAATGCCTTAATTAGTTTAAGCTGATGCTATGATTATCTTTAATTAGCCCTTGAGTATGCTTAACACTATGCAATGTAAATGTACCGCAAGATTGAAATTATTTGCATGCAATCAATGCCTGAAATATTTATTATTAAATTTACATAAATGCACACTACTAATTGTAAACTAAAAATAATTGTGTACATCTACATAGTTCGTCATTTATTCATAAACCATGGAATATCCGTTTATTTATTCAAATCATTAAATGACAATTATTAAAAATTGCATTCCTGTTTTTTTCTCACGCTTTAAATGTGCTTCAAAATGTCTTGTTAATCTAATCCGTCCATTTTATGTCAAAACCAGTTTTTTAATTGTCAACGGGTGTACTGCAAAGCCTGTAATAATGTACACAGCATGCATTTTATGCTAAAAAGTGAAATTATTGAACTATAAAAACCAGAGTTTGAGGGAAAAAATGTAATATAGTCGTTAAAGTCGTGAAAATTTAGCAAAAGATATGAAAAAATGCATTAAAAGTTGTAAACTCTGTAAATGAATACTATGCAGACATGTAAACCTTGTTTATACGTAAACTAGAAAATATCTGAACAAATCTTTCTACAGCACATATTTACATATTTAATAATTATGCCATAATATACCATTACACTAGTCAACCTCTAGTTCAATGCACATTCTATCTATCTATCTATTTTATTGCAATAATGAATAAAATTAAATATACATGATTCTTTTTATTTTATTTTATTTCGATTATAACGGAAATTGATTTCTGTTTTACACACAAAAAATAATATTTAAGCCATCAATGATCAAAGGAATTGAGTTTTTGCCACAAACTCAAATTTTCTAATCTCTATATCTTCGGTAACTGACAATATAAACCTTTAATATTTCAAATTTAAATTATTAGACTTCATAATTTAAAATATCTAAGGTTTACGAAATTGGGTTGCATGACATAGGGATTAGAAAATTAGAGTTTGTGGCAAAGACTCAACTCTTTTAATGAATAAAAAACGGAATTTAACTATGTAGACTAAATTTAACAACTTTTGCTTCAGCTTGAAGTGGTTCAACTAGGTCTCGCTAATCACTCTTCATTAAATCTGGCCCCAGGACTAAAAAATTCTATTCTCTTTGACTAAAAACTAAGTCTAGACGAATACCAAATACAGTTTACAAAACCGAAAAATTCAACCCCACTGAAACCTACCAAAAAAGTATTTTTGCCACCTAACCCTGCACAAAGTCTACTCCCTAAGTCTATTATAATTATATTATTTTGTCCAAAAACTTTAAGCCTGCCAATAAATTATTTTTAAAGCAAAGTGTCTTAATATTAAATTTTCGACAAGGAAAACCACAAGTCAGAACTTTCGTTTTGTAAATCTAGGTTGTAAGAACTAATCTCCATCTTTTATAGGAGTAGTTTCATTCCTTTTGATATCTCGTGCAGTAATCATACCCTGCAGGGATAAATGAAATGAAGAGATCAAGCATTGTTCCTCAAATTAAAAGAGCCCACATTGGATATCGAGATCAAGCGTTCAAAATTAACGATATCAAAGTTCCGACCTTTGGGTATTTTTCTCTTTGGAAAATCAAGGGGAAAAAACAAATAATAACGGTAAAATGTACACAAATAATGTTTATTTAGCAATTGTTTAATGGTTACAGACATGTAGACTTTTATTGTTTATGTTGGGTGCAGAAATAGTTGATACATTAATATAGATGATATGATTGAAAGGGGTTGGGTCCAGGTTGGTTTCATGATATTACTCCGGGTGCATGTCTGCACTGCAGGACTCGGATATATTAAGATTAGTTCTGTGTAAAGATAAAGTAGAAATGGTGCAGAGCAGTATCGATCAAACACCTGAGAGAGAAAATAACAAACCTTACAAATATTCGGATATTCATCTTACAACAGAAAAACAAAGGAATTGAGTCATTGCCACAAACTCAAATTTTCTTTTCCCTATATTTTTGCAACCTTATCGTGTAAACCTTTGGTATTTCAAACTTAGATAATTTGATCTAACAGACTGTATAGTTTTAAATATCAAACGACATTTGGTTGCAAAGATTTAGGGATTAGAAAATCAGACCAAAATCTTTTTACATAAATCCAAATATTTAATAACATCTAACAATAGAGAAACACATTTTACAAATATCTGAATATTCATCTTACAATAGAGAAATAAATTGCAAATATCCAAATATTCATCTTACAATAGAGAAGCAGATTTTACAAATATCCAAATATTCATCTTACAGTAGAGAAATAAATTTTACAAATATCCGAATATTCATCTTACATTAGAGAAACAGATTTTACAAATATCCAAATATTTAATAACATCTTACAATAGAGAAATAAATTGCAAATATCCGAATATTCATCTTACAATAGAGAAATAAATTGCAAATAACCAAATATTCATCTTACAATAGAGAAACAGATTTTACAAATATCCAAATATTCATCTTACACTCTAGTTTTGCCACAAACTTTTAGTTTCCAATCCCTTTATCTTTGCAACCCAATGTCGTAGACAAGATACTTCAAACATGATTTCTGTTAGACTAAATAATCTAAGTTTGAATTATTAAAGGTTTACACCATTAGGTTACAAAGATATAAGGATTTGATAACTTGAGTTTGTCGAAAAACCTCAAATACTTTAAGGACGGGTTTAAGCCAAGTATTCACTTTATTGGACGGGTTTAGCTTTAGTATCCGCTTTTAAGGACAGGGTTTAACTCTAGTATCCGGGTATTTAAAGGACGTGTTTATCTTCTGTATCCGGGTAATTAAAGGACGGGTTTAAATCCGGGATCCGGGTATTGTTAAGGTTGGTTAGTCCCAGATCTAGACTGGAGAGAATGTCTTGATGAGATATTTATCGACTAAACATTGAGCAGTATATGCCCCAGACCTAGAGCTAAATCATGAAATGATCCAACCCAGTCATTCATCTCAATTATAGAAAACTCTGCAGGAACAAACTTGAAAAATATCTGTAGTAAATATAATGGAGGGGAATAAGGTGGCTAGGGGGGGGGGAGAAACAAAATAGCGCTTTCTCACTAACACAGAAAGAATTGTGGAAATTATTCTGAGGAAATGAAAGAATGAAAATAGCAAGTTGGAAGAAATATGTATTTTGAGAAAGTAACTTCATATTTAATAATGCTACGTCTTGCTAGTTAATCTTGAAAGGAATGTTGAGGAAATTTCATGTGACTTCCCATCTGAAGAGGGGCATGTCCTATTCACAACAGCACCCTTAACGCCTTTATCTGAGCAATATTGTGGACGATATTATCTTTTTTCTTTTATTAACTTGAAAAAAAAATACTTCTTCCTTTGTGCTCAAACGATCAAGTTTTATGAAGGGAAAATTTGAAAACAGTATAAAAGTAAGAGGACATATTGATGAAAAGGGGGGCGTAGGGAAAAGAAAGGGGGTGGTATGTATAAAAAAGGGGGGGTAAGGGGAATAACAATTAAATGATAAAGGTATATTAAGTTGAGTTATGGGGTTAGGTTTGTATACCTGTCCTCAACATCTGGTTCTATCGATTCTTCTCTCTCCAGGTCCTAGTCTACATACAGTACTAGAGAACTAAAACCATTCAACACACATGCTTATTATTATTATCATGATTATTATCACCGTCATATTGATTTCTCAACTTTTCCCCCTAGATCCCCCATCACGTAGTTCCTCTCCCCTGCTTTTAGTCATCACAAACAAACAAACTAACATTGTAGAACGCACGCAGACAATCACGAATATTAACACTTAAACTGCACAGATGAACATAAAGTTTAATTATTGACATTTTAAAATATTAAATTACGCAAGAAATTATAAAAACATAACGGTGACATGAAAAACTCCTTAAATACAAACTCCTAAAATAAAAACTCCAAAATACAAACTCCTTAAACACAAACACCTAAAATACAAACTCTTGAAATACAAACTACGAAAAAAACAAACTGCAGAATACAAACTCCTTAAACACAAACTCCTAAAATACAAACTCTTGAAATACAAGCTACGAAAAAAAAATACAAACTGCAGAATTATAAACTCCTAAATTACAAACTCTTAAAATACAAATTGTGGAAATGCAAATCCATATAAAACAAACTGCGGAAATACAAACTCTTAAATAAAAACTGTGGAAATACAAACTGTGGAGAAACAAACCCTTGAAATACAAAATCTTGGAATATTAACTCTTAAAATACAAAATCTTGAAATACAAACTCCAGAAATACAAACTTCTGATATTCGGACTCCTGAAATACAAACTCCTGAAATACAAATTTCGGAATGCAAGCTTCTGAAAAACAAACTGCGGAAATACAAACTCCTAAAAATCCTGAAATACAAACTGACATGACAATCTTCGGAAAAACAAATTTCTGAAAAGACAAACTCCGAAAATCAAATAAAAAATCAAATTTTTCTTTTATTCTAGGATGAGGTTAGGCTTTCTGATGCGCCGCAGGTTAGCTTTGCCTCCTAAAATAAACACCTCTAAAATGTAAGTTTCACCGTTTATTTGTTAAATATTCGGAATAGTTAGAACAAAAGTAGGATAAAAATACAATCAGTGCCAAACACAACTTTTTGCTAGTTTTCTTGTTCAACCTTTATATACATTGTTTATTCTTACTTTCCCCTCCTAATCATGAAATGAAATGTTTAAAAACAAAATTAAAGCTATTTATTTGATATCAATCAGAATTAAAAGATGCATATTCTAACTGACTTCCATTGTAAAGAGAAACAAATCGGCAATTGAAAAATTCTCTCATCTTAAAAAATAAATTGGGGGGTATGAGACATATCTATGTAGATAAAGTTGTAATCTCTGCTTTTGTCTGTCTTTTTGTTTCTTTATCTGATCATAACTCAGGAACCCCTGGACCGATTTGCCTCAAATTTTGATTGGGGGAACTCGGGAGAATTTTCCCAGAAAAATCAACCAAGTGCGGGTAGACGGGGGTAGTAACTATGAGTAACATGGGAAACGATGGGTTCTCAAGCTAGTATCCTATAAAACTACATCTATTAGGAAAACACTTAATGTACTTGGACTAAACAAACATTTTATTTGTTATTATAAAAAACATTAAGGAAGCATATCTCATAATTGTTTATATCCCTTAAAACATTAAGGAAGCATATCTCATGATTGTTTATGTCCCTGAAAATGACTGTAAGGGTTATTTCAAGTGACATTTCATTTAAAGATTCATTTGTAATTGTTGAGCACTTGGTTTGCAAGCTGTTTAATATATTTAAGGAATATTGATGTAGAATATTCTAGATTTTCCAGGAATAAATGTGACGTCATCCGCGTTGAGTTCACACAGTACACTAGCGTACACTCCTATTTTACGGTTTTTAAACAGCATTTTGGAGATATATACACTGAGTTCTCTGTCCTCTGGTAGATTTGGGAACTCAGTAATTTTGTACAGACTGATAAATTTGAGGATGAGTAGATGAAAGGATGAATGAATGAATGAATGAATGAATGAATGAATGAATGAATGAATGAATGAATGAATGAATGAATGAATGAATGAATGAATGACAGTCTGTGAAAAGTATATGATGTTCTAGCATCAATACTTAGATTTACTTATTTCATGCACCACTGCTTTAATGTGCAACACCTGCCCATGGCTGAG